TGCAGGACTCGATCCCAGGACCCTGAGATCATGACCTGAGCCGAAGGCAGAGGCTTAACCCACTGAGACACCCAGGTGCCCTGTAGTTTGTCTTAATATTTGGTAAAGCAAGACCTTCCCCTTTCCTCTCTAATGTGAACTTAGCTATTTGTATACCTTTATTCCTCCATATAAATTTTAGAGCTGGTTTATCAAGTACTCTAAAAATCTGCATTTTTTATTAAGATTGCTTCAAAGTTACTGGCGAATTTCGAGAGAACTGAAATGTGGATAATATGAAGATACCCTATCCAAGGACATGGATCGTTCCATTTTTTTCAGATTACCTTCTGTATCCTTTATTGACATTTTCTTGTTAGTTTTGTTTTTTGGGGTTTTTTATTCTTTTATTTTTTTGACAGGGAGAGACACAGTGAAAGAGGGAACACAAGCAGGGGCAGAGGGGAGAGAGAGAAGCAGGCTCTCTGCTGCGCAGGGAGCCCAACGTGGGGCTTGATCCCAGGATTCGGGGATCATGACCTGAGCTGAAGGCAGACGCTCAGCGCCTGAGCCATCCAGGCGCCCCAAGTTTATTTTAATGTTTTGAAAGTAATCTCTGTGCCCAATGTGGGGCTCGAACTTACTGAGATCAAGAGTCCCATGCTCTACCGACTAAGCCAGCCAGGCACCCCTAAAGTTATATGTTTTAGTTGGTTATTACAGTGTTACTGAGATGATAATGATCTTTGTAGGTTGATCTGTTAGTAACCATGATAATCTCTTTGCTAAGAGCCCTCTTACCTCAATTGTGAATACCAGTCATATCATTGATGAGAGCCCACTTCTAGTATTCTCATCCTAATTAGCAAAGCCCTTAGTGTTGATATGAGATGGATGAGTGCCTTATAGCACCTGCCTCTGGAGCCTGCTCTTGTAATTAAATTCCGGCTAACAACCCTGCCAGCTCTGACCTAACCAACCTGTGGGGTGCAGTTTAAACACAGTCCTCATATAGCCACGAGGGGGCGCTGAGGCCTCACTTAGCTAGGAGACCTTCTGCGGGTGGAGAGAATGTGGCCACCAGGGGTCACTGCTTGCGCCAAGCACCTACTGTGTGGGGCCCGCTCTTCTAGATGTTAGGGTAACCATGCTCAAGGCAGGAAAGGAGCTAATATTCTGAAAGTCGAGGAGTGTAGGCAGACAATAAAAAAACTAACTGATTATATCAGGGCTGGGCTATCCAGGCTGCACAGTTGTGGGGTCCGACTCTTGGTTTCAGCTCCGGTGGTGATCTCTGGGTCTGGAACGAGCCTCCCGTTGGGCTCTGCACTCAGGGCAGAGTCTGCTTAAGATGCTCTCTCTCCCTCTTCTCCTTCCCCCTCATAAATAAATAAATCCTCTTTAAAATAGATTATGTCAGGGTGTAATAAATTATATGGAGAAACTAAGTCAGGGTGACCAGATAGTGACGGATGGAGGCTCCTTACACAAGGAACTCCCAAGTATCTGAGATTACATTAAAGGAGGATGCGGGGGTGTCTGGGTGGCTCAGCCGTTAAGCGTCTGCCTTCAGCTCAGGTCATGATCCCACCATCCTGGGATCGAGTCTGGTATTGCTCTCTGCTAGACGGGATGCCTGCTTCTCCCTCTCCCACTCCCCCTGCTTGTGTTCCATCTCTCTGTGTGTCTCTCTCTGTCAAATAAAATCTTGGAAAAGAAAACAAACATTAAAAATAAAAAATAAAGGAGAATGAGGGACTCATGGAGAAAAGTACTCTGGGCAGAGGAAATGTGTCTGTGGGTCTGGAGGGGAAAAACATGGAGGGAGGAAGGATGGGAAGGAGACAAACGTAGACAAAGAACAGAAGGGAGAGGGGGTAAGACAGACTGGTGACAGGTGACAGGTGACAGGGAGGAGTGTGTAAGTGGAGGACTCTGGCTTTTGTCCTGAGGCCGGGGTAAGCCTCTGGAGGGGTTGTGATATGAAAGATCTCAAGACAGTTATGTGAAAATGAGCAAGGTTAACATAGTGTCCTAATGTTCACCTTAAGAAACAGGATTTGGGGGCGCCTGGGTGGCTCAGTGGGTTAAAGCCTCTGCCTTCGGCTCGGGTCATGATCCCAGGGTCCTGGTATCGAGCCCCGCATCGGGCTCTCTGCTCAGCAGAGAGCCTGCTTCCTCCTCTCTCTCTGCCTACTTGTGATCTCTGTCTGTCAAATAAATAAATAAAATCTTTAACAAAAAAAGAAAGAAAGAAACAGGAGTTGGGGGCGCCTGGGTGGCTCAGTAGGTTAAGCCTCTGCCTTCAGCTCAGGTCATATCTCAGGGTCCTGGGATGGAGCCCCGCATTGGGCTCTCTGCTCCGCGGGGAGCCTACTCCCCCCCTCCACCTGCCTCTCTGCCTACTTGTGATTTCTATCAAATAAATAAATAAAATCTTTAAAAAAAGAAAGAAAGAAAGAAAGAAACAGGAGTTGGTGGGACAGAATCTAGGTTCCCACTTGTTTTAATTTGCATCAAGAAATACTATAACAAGGGTGCCTGGGGGGCTCAGAGCAAGATCCCAGGGGTCCTAGGATGAAGCCCCATGGGCTCCCAGGTCAGTGGGGAGTCTGGTTCTCCCTCCCCCTCTGCCACACAAGTAGGAGGATATACTTGTCCTCTCACTCTCTCAAATAAATAAATCTAAAAAAGAAAAAAAAAAGAAAAAGTCCTAGAACAATACCAAGAAATTGATGTTTTAAAATGATGAATTAGAGGAAGAGGGGACAGAGAATGGAGTGGACGGAGATGAAGGCGAGAGGGAGGGGAAGATGTCCTATGGCTGCCGAGTGGGAAACAGCACAGACCCTGGGAGGCAGGGAGCTTGGTGACCCAGCAAGTGGGGGACAAAAATGCAAGGACGGCAAGTCGGGTACACTGTGTCCTTTGGAGCTTTGCCACAACAGAGGGCCTGAGAATCAGTGTTCCCAAGGCACATCTTTGCTGGCCAGGGGTGATGGCTGGAGGAGCTAATGGTCCAGCCCCTCCCTACAAACATTAATAACGATGTTTATTAAGTGCCTGGCACTAGTCTATGATGTGTACTTTTAAACCATGTAAACCTCGCAACACCACCAGGGATAGGCACTGTTCTAACCTCTTCATTTCATAGGTGTGGAAACTGAGGCACAGAAAAGTGACTTGTTCTAGTTGACACAGCTAGGAAGGGGGACAGATGGCATTTGAATCCACGCAAGAATCCCACAGTCCACGCTCTTACCCACTATGGTATGCTGCTTCCCAGTGCTTCTGTTGTAGCCTTGTTCTCAGTCAGGTTGTATGGCCTCTTGGATAGGCTATCTCAGGAGTGTGAGCAGTCACTAACAATTTAGTATGAATTAGTTACCCCCACTCCCCCTTTCCTGACACTAATGCACAGCCATCACCGCTACGGTTTATGGGAGCACTGTAGTATAGGAGTTCAGTAATTGAGCTCTGGGGTCCTATGCTAGGGACTGAAGCCCGGTGCCACTTGCCAGGTGTGTAACTTTGGGCAAGTAGCATCACTAAACTGGGCCTCAGTTTCCTTCATGAAGTCCCCATTTTCCAGAAGAGGAAACTGAGAGGCTCAACACAAGCGCACACCCAGGACTTTAAGATCTGGGTTTTGAGCACATAATCACCTCCACAGAATGAGGAACCAAAACCAGGTTCTGTGAGAGGAAGTCAGGCCCAAGAGAAAGTTCTGGGGGACACGCCCTGGTGATTGGTTGCCAGGAGGCCTACGTCCATTCTCCACATATCTGTTCTCTGTGCATCTGGGTGGAGGGAAGGGGACCCTGGGAGCCTGAGGTCTGCCTGCGCAGGGACAGCAAAGCCACCCACAGGGCTGGACAGGTGAGGTGTTTCTGCCTTCCTCCTCCTTCAGTGGCATCCCTTCCTGCCCCACTAGAGCTCAGACCCCTTGCAATGGGTGCCTGATCCAGCTGCTGGGTGACAGAGTATGGGTGGGGGCCGGGCCCCAACATCAGTCAGTAGAGGGAAGATGTGAGGTGTGCTTTGTTCTGGTGGGGGGAGGGGGGACACCATAGCTCTGGCCTTGCCCCAGTCCTTAGCCCGGCATAGCACCCCTGCCCCCCATCTCCTGAACACACACAGGCAGGGCCGCGGCTACAACTAGACCTGCCATTAAAATACTGAAATACCAGGGCGCCTGGGTGGCTTAGTTGTTTAGCATTCGCCTTTGGCTCAGGTCAGGATCCCAGGGTCCTGGGATCGAGTCCCACACCAGGCTCTCTGCTCTGGGGGAGTCGGCTTCTCCTTTTCCCTCTCCCTCTGCCTACTTGTGTGCTCTCTGTCAAATAAATAAATTCTTTCAAAAAAAATACTGAAATACTTCCACAGTTTGGGGTAAATAGGTTCCACCCACTTCTGGTGCTCTCACCCCTCTGCTGGAGCCCTTCGGGCCTCCCCAACACCCAGCCCAGGGGCCTTCCTGATCCAGCTCTGGAGGACCTGCCCATCCTGGTGGGTGGGTGGATGGCTCCATCAATACCTGGTATGTTCCCTGCATTAGGCTCAACATCAATCCCTCCACCTACAAGGTTCAGAGTCCTCAGGTATGGGTACCCATTTCACACGAACTCCTACGCATCCTTCAAAGCCTTGGCTCAATTGTCACTTTCTTCAGGAAGCCCTCTTGGTTTGTTCATGATGTGTTTTGGTGATATTGGGCACGTCTGGGTTCGCGCATCTCCCCTGGTACGAGGACCACAGGCCATCATTCCCACAGGAGCCCCAGATGACACCCACTGGGGCCCTGCTGGCTTGCACTGGGGAAGGCTGAGGGGGAAGTGAGGACAAGCTGAGTCCTGGGAGGGGAGGTTGAGGGGGGGCAAGGTCAGCAGGGCCTGTTCTCATGCTCTCTGGCTGAGGAGTGATTCTCCATCTGTCAGGCCAGCTGCGGGTGCCAGGGGAGATACAGCAGGACAGAGGGAGGTGTGTTGGGGAAGCTTGGGGAAGTCCACGGTAATCAGGGAGAGGAAAAACAGGCACACCGTGTTGTTACAGAACCATTACATACAACTTACAAAGAAGCCAGGACAGTGTGGAGGGTAGGGGAGAAGGCAGGAGGCCACGGAGGCAAGGTCAGGGTGGCGCGGTCCGGGCCCGGTCCTGGAGGGGGCTCAGACTGCGGTCCCGGGAGGGGCTGGGCGGGCGGAGGCCAGGCTGCTTGTGGAGCCCTCGGAGCTTCCCCAGCAGCTCCTGGACGAAGTCCTGAGGACAGGGCAGGGGTCCTGAGAACACAGGGAGAGGCGGGGCTGCCCCTGCCCAGCCCAGCCCAGCCCCTCTGATCTGGGCCCCTACTGCTCCTGCCTCCCCTCCCAGGCAGTGAAAGAGCCCGGAGGTAGGTTGGGGGGGTGTCAAAAGGCAGAGATGGGGAAAGGTGAGGAACAGATAGAGAGACACAGGGAAAGACAAAGCTACAGACAAGGAGGGAGACAGAGACCTAGAAAATTAGACCAAGCCAGAGGCACAGAGACAGAGGGAGAGACAAAAGGACAGAGAAAGAAACAGCCACAGAGAGACAAGATGTTTCTCAGGCCAAGGGATCGCCAGGAGGATCCCCAGGGACAGAGGCCTTAGCTCTGGGGGCAGACAGACACACAATGACGTTTGTCCCTCAGGCAGCCCAGAGCTGGTTGGAGAAACATGAATATTTTTCCCTTTTAAAGCAGGGAAGGAAGTGGGAGGGGTTGGGCTGCTCAGCTTCAGGGCTTGGAGGGATGGGGGTGGGGGGCAGAGGTGGGGAAGGGAATCCAGGGGTGGGAAGCAGCAGGAGGAGAGAGAGGCGGGGAGAGGCTGAGCCCCAGGACCAGCCGCCCAAAGGAGGGGGCAGCAGAGGGACCAGCAGAAGCCGGACACAGATGGGGAGCATCTCTGTAGGGTGGAGATGACGGGCCCCAGTGGCAGATGGGGAGAGACAAGCCAGGGTGAGGAAGACAAAGACACCACTGGAGACGGGGAAAGGGCTGAGCGGCTCAGAGGGCTCCCCAGAGTTCCCCCTGCTGCCCCTGGGCCAGGCAGCTTCTTCCCTCCTCCCCAGGGACCCCCTTCTCTACCAGGAAGCAGGGGCCCAGAGCAGGGAGGGAAAACTCACCTCTGTCGGGTTCCTGCACGACTTCAGGAGTCCCTAAACCCCCGCCCCCCACAAAAAAAAAGAAAATCGTAAATAACTAGCCCCTTGGCCCCTCCAGCCCCCTTCTCTCTCCCAACAAAGCCCGGAGGCAACCAGACAAAAGGGAGTCAGGCTCCAAGGGGCACTTCCCATCTGGTCACTGGAGGAGAACATGGCCCCAGGGTCTTACAGAGTGAGTGGGGGGAAGGTTGAGTTAAGAAACTCAGCCCCAGGATCAGCTCTAAGTCCAGAGAGGGTCAGAAGGTCACACAGCGTTTCCTGCCTCTGGGAGAGCCACAGGCCCTAAACAGCCAGGAGACAACAGGCAGGCAACCTGTCTGGCTTTGACTCCCAGCTCTGCTCCTTCTGAGCTGGGACCTGGGGCAAGGGATTAAATCACTTTCCTCATCTGGAAGATGGAGGTCTTAAACCCTTCCCATGATTTGTGAGGATTAAATGAGTTAAGTGGAAAGGAATGGAAACAGTGCCTGGCACATAGGAAGTGCTCAATAAACATGCTGACTATTGTTGGGGCTTCGAGGGCAGCCTTTCCCTTCACCTACCTGGATTTTCCGGCTTCTGTCCTCTTCGCTCTCTAATTCCAACAATTCGTCGATGTTGACCTCATCAGGCATGTCTGCCTCCTAAGGCAGAGAGGGAGGAGGGGTCAGGGTCCCTTGCCTGCCCCTCCCTCGCCTTTGTCCAGGCCTCCGGAGAAGCTCCACCAGCCCCAGGGCCCAGCTGGCCGGTTCTGGAGCAACAATGTGGCAGTCAGGGACAGCACCGCCAAGGCGGGACATCTGGGTGCTGGGGGGAGGGGTGGCAGATGGGTTGACAGAGGCCCAGCGGTCTGTACCAGCTCAGATGCCGGGGCCCCCAGAGCCCAGAGAGCCTTGGGGCTGGCACAGGTCTCTCTCCTTGGCCCCAGTTCCCATAGAGGGAAACAGGCCTGGTCGAGTCTCGGAATGTCAGATTCTGGGATTCAGGAGAGGGGCTGGTTCTGCCCTTTCAAGGAAAAGTCTAAGCACTAGGTGTGGGGGAGGGGCGCAGGCCGGTTAGAGCCTGCTGGGGGAGGCCCCTTGCCTAAGAGGACCAGAAGGGAGGGTAGGGCTCCCGCCAGCTCCCAGGGCAAAGAGTGCACCTCGATCGGTCCAGAGAGATGACCACCAACGCTCCCCAGAGTGGGTGAGTGGGATGAGCCATGGGCCCAACTTTGAGCGGCCCAGAGGGGCATTCCTCCTGTAGCCTGCCGGGGCAAAAAGCCAAACGCAGGCTGCCTCACTCTCCCTGTGGGGGACAGAATCCAGCTGTCAAAGCAAGAGATCCCGGAGGCTACAGATTTTTTCCTCCCCCACCCAACGTCCTTCAGACTTCACTGTGGGCCTCAGGGCTGGGTGGTCCGGATTTGTCTGCAGGTGGGGGGGGCCGTCGGCAAAGGCACGGCTAGTCCTTAAGTGGGTCGCACACCTGTGTGAGGCTCTGCAGGTGAGCCAGAGACTGAGGCCAAGGGGCCAGCGCCAAGGCCAAGGCCAGGGCCGGCAGGAGAGTGCAGAGCTCTGGGGCGTCATGAGCAGTATGCCCGGGGGCTACGGTCCGAGGACTGCAAGGCATGTGGCTCTGGTTTAGTGTGTCACAGCAGCTAAAAATGTCCGCCATCGGAGGATGACCTTAGAGGATGCCACCTACCAATGGCCACTGGACTTCTCCGTCCACTTAGAGGAGTCTCCTTGTGTGCCTGACAACATTGGGACCTTGTGTCGCCATCAGGGGCCCTGCCTTCCATCACCTTCGAGCCGTGCGGAGGAGCATCTGTGTGCCTCCTGTCTGTCCACTGACACAACCCCCGCGTCCCTGGGATTGTGTTTCGTGTGTGGCGCAGTGTGACTTCAAGCAGAAACTCAAGTGGAAGGTGTGAAATGCACATGGGTAGCCTAGGCGTCCCCACACAAGGCTGTCGCTCACGCCCAGTGTGGCCACCGACAGCTGTAGTCTCTGCCTTGCCAGGCCTGTGTCCCTACAGCTTGTGCGGTTTTCTGCCTGCGTGTGGCTGTAATTTCGGCTATTTTCTGTGAGCAGCTGTAGTGCCTGTCATTGTGTCTGCATGTGGTCCTTCCTTTTGCTTTCAGGTGGCAACGGAGGGTTTTCCGTGAATCATTCCGTGTAGCAGGGAGTTGCCCCAGCTCTGGTGTGCGTATGACTCCATGGAGGGTCTCTGAGTAGCTGGAACCGGAGTCCTTTTGTGTGGGTGTAGTTGTGCGGAGTGTCGGCATACGCCTGTGGCCTGTGCTATTGTGTCTGTGGGTGCTGATCTGTAGGGGACCGCAGCCTGTGTCCCTGAGAGTCTGTACGTGGCTGCTGTGTCTACCAGTGGCTCTAACTCGTCTCTGGGCACGTCTGTGAATGTTGTCGCTTCCTTTGTGGTGGGTCTCTGGGTCTCATACCCTCCCGGTCCCTTCACCGGATCTAAGTTCGGCTTGAAGACAGACCCTCCCCCACAACCTCTCTCCAGATTCGGCCGCTCTGGCTCCCCAACTTTGCCTCCTTGCCCTCCATAGGCTCAACCGCTATGCTCAACCATCTCTGGAGACCCGAGCGGGTGTCTGGGTCCACAAGCAGAGACCCAGGGAGGGGACACAGCAAGGGCCAATGAGTCCCCGAGCGCGCGTTCCCTTGTGTGACCGAGGCCAGCACAAGCAACCAGAGACCCCGAGGGCGTAGGGAGTCCGGACCAAGGGTGTGTCACTCTGCGGTCCCCACACCCGCCTTTGCCCCCGTACCCCTCCCTGCCTCACCCTGCCGCGGTACAGCTCCTCCAAGCGCCCGTCAATCCACTTCTCCACGTCCAGCCGCCGCTGCAGCTCCCGCCGGTCGTACTTGACGGTGACACGCGCGTGTCGTTTCTGCAGGCCCCCGGGGCTGCCCCCCGGGCCGCGAGCCCGCGATGGAGACTGCAGCTTGCTCAGCACCCGCTTGCCCAGCCGCTGAGCTGCCATAGCGGTCCGGGTCCCGGGCCCCTCGCCGCGCTGTGCGGCTCCGCCGGCGCCCAGGGGGCCTCTTACGGGCCGGGCCGGGGCGGGGCCGGGCGGGGGCGGGGGCTTGGGCTCGCCCGGGGGCCAGCTCCGCCCCAGTCGCCCCGGCCTCAGTTTCCCCGCCGGCAGCGCGGGGACTAATCGCTGCACCGCGCAAAGCCCGCAGCGGTGTTCAGTCCAGGTGTGCGCGCGGTCCCAGAGTCCCAGGCTGGGGCCGGGCGGCTGGGGCTCCCGGGGCTTGGATCCCGGGGGGCGGGGTCCCGGGACAGGCTCTTGGGGACCGGGCCTGTCTGCGCCCCCTGACGGCTGCAAGGGACAGTGCAGGAGCCCGCGTGCCGCCTTTCTCCCCAAGGGAAGATTCAGCCAGAGTACTCACAGTACATTTATTCGTTCTTTCATTTATTCGCTCATTCATGCAGCTTCCGTTCACTTACTCACTCACTCTATTCAACAGATATGTACTCGTTTGACATCATGACATCTGGTAGCCTGTCATATCACACTCCTCAAGCCGGATAGCATCCAGATGGTCTTTCCTCCCTCTGGTTATTATCAGGCCCCTCCTCCCCGACTCCCCTCCCCATGGGTTTCTTAGTGACCTGCGCAGGGGGATTCGGCACCTGCTCTCTTCAGTTCTTTCAGATTTCTGAAAAATATATATATATATCCCCCCCGAGATATATATATATATATGTATATATATATATCACACACACACACACACACACACACACACACACACACACACACCAGGCACTGTTCTAGGCACTAGAGAAAGAACAGTGAACAGGAAAGCCTAGTCCTCGAGGAGTTGACATTCTTATGCTGGGGACAGTCAATAGGAAGCACTAGTATACAGCTTATTAGAATATGATAAGTTCTATGGAGAAATACGAAGCAGAAAGGAGGAATTAAATGAGGCAGGGGTTTGCAATTTTAGCAAGGGAGATCACAGAAGTCCCTTACTTCACCAGTCTTTCCACTTCTAATTATGAGCACTAAGAACAATTCTTTTTACGATTCTAATTATAAGCAGCAAGAACCCAGGCGCCCCTAGAGCTTACTTTATTTTTTTTTTAAGATTTTATTTATTTATTTGACAGACAGAGATCACAAGTAGGCAGAGAGGCAGGCAGAGAGAGGAGGAAGCAGGTTCCCTGCTGAGCAGAGAGCCCTATGTGAGGCTCAATCCCAGGACGCTGGGATCATGACCCAAGCAGAAGGCAGAGGCTTTAACCCACTGAGCCACCCAGGAGCCCCTAGAGCTTACTTTAAAAAAAAAAAAAAAAAAAAAAGGTTTGTTTTTTTTGTTTGTTTTTTTAAAAGATTTTTTTTAAGGATTTTGTTTATTTATTTGACACAGAGAGAGATCACGAGTAGGCAGAGAGTCAGGCAGAGAGAGAGGGGGAAGCAGGCTTCCTGCCGAGCAGAGAGCCTGATGCGGGGCCTGATCCCAGGACCCTGAGATCATGACCTGCAGAGGCTTAACCCACTAGGCCACCCAGGCGTCCCCCCCACCCAAAAAAGAAAGTTTTGTGTTTCAAAGGACATCATGAAGAAGGGGAAGCGATGGGAGGCCTGGGTGGCTCAGTCATTAAGCCTCTGCCTTCATCTCAGGTCATTATCCCAGGGTCCTGGGATCGAACCCTGCATCTGCTCCCTGCTCAGCAGGGAGTCTGCTTCTCCCGCTCCCCCTGCTTGTGTTCCCTCTCTCTGTGTCTCTCCATGCCAAATAAATAAATAGAATCTTTTTAAAAAAATTTTTAAAAAGAAAGGGAAGAGACAACCCCCAGAGTGAAGAAAGAATTGCAAATCATGTACCTGATAAGATACTTTTTTTTAGATTTTATGTATTTGTTTTCTATTTTTCAAAGATTTTATTTATTTATTTGAGAGAGAGAGAGCACGCAAGCTGGGGCAGAGGGAGAGGGAGAAGCAGGTACCCCTGCCGAGCAGAGTCCGACATGGGGCTCCATTCCAGTCAAAGGCAGACCCTTAACCAATGGAGGCACCCAGGTACTCCTATTTTTTTATTTGAGAGAGAGAGAGAGGGAGGAGGGGCAGAGAGAGAAGCAGCACAGAACCCCAGGCAGGCTCTGCACTGTGTGCAACAGCCCACACAGGGCTCAGTCCCAGCACCCAGAGATCATGACCACAGCCTAAACCAAGAGTCAGGGGCTCAGCCATCTGAGCCCCCTAGGTGTCCCCTAATAAGGTTCTTGTACCTAAAATAAAGAACGAAGTGGTGGAACTCAATAATAATAAGACAAATAAGCTAGTGAAAAAATGGACAAAGACTCTGAATAGACATTTCTCTAAAAATGATTTATACAAAGGCCAATAAACATATGAAAAGATGCTCAACCGGTTAATTATCAGGAAAATGCAAATCAAAACCATAAGGAGATACCACTTCACATCCAGTAGGATGGCCATAATTTCTTTTATTTCTTTTTTAACATTTATTTTCTTTTCTATAGTAATCTCTACACCCAGTGTGGGACTTGAGTTACAAACTCCCAGATCAAGAGTCACACACTCTTCCAGCCAGATTCTCCAGATGGCTATAATAGATTTTATTTATTTTTTTAAAGATTTTATTTATTTATTTGACAGAGACAGAGATCACAAGTGGGCAGAGAGGCAGGCAGAGAGAGAGGGAGAAGCAGGCTCCCCGCTGAGCAGAGAGCCCCATGCAGGGCTCAATCCCAGCACCCTTGGGACCATGACCTGAGCTGAAGGCAGAGGCTTTAACCCACTGAGCCACCCAGGCGCCCCTATAATAGCTTTTAAATGGAAAATACCAAGTGTTGGCAAGGCTGTGGAGAAATCACAACTTTCATACATTCATGCTGGGAATATAAAATCGTGCGGCCACTTTGGAAAACATTCTGGCAGTTCCTCAAAAGGTTAAACTTAGAGTTACCATATGACTCAGCAATTCTACTCCTAAGAGTACACTAGAGAACTGAAAGCATATGTTCACACAAAAACTTGTATGTGAATGTTCATCACGGCATTGTTCAGAATAACCAGAAGGTGGAAACAACACAGCGCACCAACTGATGAATGGATAAATAAAATGTGGTACGTCCATAAAATGGCCTGGAATTTGGCAATGAAAAGAAATTAAGTATTCATACATGCTATGCTATAGATGAACCTTGAAACAGTGCCGAGTGAGAGAAGCCACACGCTGTATGATTCTACTTATATGAAATATCCAGAATAGGCAAATCCATAGACAGAAAATAGATTGGTGGTTGCCTGGGGCTGAGAGAATTGAGGGGAGGGGAGTGATTGCTGACCAGTATGGGGTTTCTTTCTTTTTTTTTTTTTTTAAGATTTTATTTATTTGACACAGAGAGAGTGGGGATGGAGGGGGGAGAACAAAGCAGAGGGAGAAGCAATGTCCCTGGTGAGCAGAGACCCCAATGACGGACTTGATACCAGAACCCTGGGATCGTTACCTGAGCCGAAGGCAGAGGCTTTAACCCCCTGAGCCACCCAGGCGCCCCAGGCCTGTGGATATTTTGAGGTGGGTGGCCTGTGGGGCTGTATGGATACAGTCAGGGGGTCACTGTGGGCCCTTGTGCCTGGGTCAAGTTTCCATTGCTCATGCCTGCTGTCTCAAAGTAGCCTCTACAAAGCATGGTCCTTTCTCAACACGTTTGCCCGGATGGTTCTTTCTATCAGCAGGGTTCATTCCTTCATCTCCCTCAGATGTCACCGGAGCAGTGGGGTCTTGTCTGAACACCTGCCTCACTCACATTCTGAGTCCCACGTCCCTTATTTGGCTCAATGTTTTATCCATAACATCACCTTTCCACATTGTATATAATTTACTCATTCTATCTATTGTCCGTTTTCCAGCTAGCCATGTGCCGAAGGGCAAAAGGAGTGTTCTACAGGAGTACAGGCAAAAAGGGGGTACACTGCCTGTAGAGAATTTAAAATATAAACAAATAGGGGCACCTGGGTGGCTCAGTAGGTTAAACCTCTGTCTTCTGCTCAGGTCAGGATCTCAAGGTCTTGCGATCAAGACCCGCATTGGGCTCTCTGCTCAGCAGGGAGCCTGCTTCCCCCTCTCTCTGCCTGCCTCTCTGCCTACTTGTGATCTCTCTCTGTCAAATAAATAAATAAAATCTTAAAATAAAATAAAATAAAATATAAGCAAGTAAAACTGACTGAAAGTTGGCCCAGTTTTTATTAGACCATGCACTGACAAGTTCTAAGGCGTATCAGTGATAAAATAATCCTCCAAAATAATCCAGAATCTTTTTTTGGTCTGCTTGTAAACAATTGATACAATTACTGTTGAGTTTATTTTTATTTTATTTTTTTAAGATTTATTTATTTATTTGAAAGAGAGAGAGAAACAGAGAGCAAAAGTGGGGGGAGGAGCAGAGGGAGCGGGAGAGAAGCAAACTCTCTGCTGAGCTTAGAGCCCAACATGGGCATCATCTCAAGACCCTGAGATCCTGACCTGAGCTGAAATCAAGAGTCACCTGCTTCACTGACTGAGCCACTCACACTCCAGTTTTTGTTTTTGTTTTTTTAAGATTTTATTTATTTGAGAGAGAAGGGTAGAGAGACAGAGAGAGAGCAAGAGAGAATGAAGAGGGGAGAGGCAGAGGGAGAAGCAGTCTCCCAGCTGAGCAGGGAGATGATGTAGGGCTGGATTCCAGAAGCCCAAGAGCCTGAGCCAAAGGCAGCCACTTAACCGACTGAGTCACCGAGGCTCTCCCATCCCCCATTGAGTTTTGATAATAGGCTTCCAGTTAGTTATTTTCATTACTGTGTCCTTTAGTAAACGTTGTATTTGTAATAGTTTTCTTTTTTTTTTTTTTTTAAGATTTATTTATTTATTTATTTGACAGACAGAGATCACAAGTAGGCAGAGAGGCAGGCAGAGAGAGAGAGGAGGAAGCAGGCTCCCTGCTGAGCAGAGAGCCCGGTGCGGTGCGGGGCTCGATCCCAGGACCCGGAGATCATGACCTGAGCTGAAGGCAGAGACTTTAACCCACTGAGTCACCCAGGCGCCCCTCAATTGCTAATTTTAAGACTAAAGAACAAATTAATGACTCTTACATGATTGTTGTTGAAAATAATTTTCTGGTAGAGAGGAGGAAGTATAAAAAAGTTAGCCCCTCCAGGTGTCAAATATCCTAGTCCTACCACTGTTCCCTACATTACAAAATGAGTTCCGGGGCGCCTGGGTGGCTTAGTGGGTTAAGCCTCTGCCTTCGGCTCAGGTCATGATTTCAGAGTCCTGGGATCAAGGCCCACATTGGGCACTCTGCTCAGCAGGGAGTCTGCTTCCCCTTCTCTCTCTGCTTGCCTCTCAGCCTACTTGTGATCTCTCTGTCAAATAAATAAATAAAATCTTAAAAAAAAAAAAAAAAGAGCTCCAACAGGACAGGGATTTTGCTTTGTTCCTTGTTGTATCTTCTCCAGCATTTACAACAGTACCTGGCTCATAGTAGGTGCTCAATGAATATGCCAAATGAACAGATGCGCGAATGAATGGACCTGTGACTCCTTTCCAGCCTCAACTCTCACCACAGTCCTGTTTCTCGGCTAAAGACCTGGCTTAGAGAAATGGAGTGGGGTCGGGGGGTTCAGGTGCTGGAGAGATCTTTGTTCTCACATTGAGACTCTTGACCTTGAGTCCTTGGACCTCACTAAAAGATTAAAGAAGATGGTGGGCAAAAAAATTTTTTAATTAAAAAAAAGTGGTGAGGACACCTGGTTGGCTCAGTTGGTATAGCACATGACTCTTGAACTTGAGGTTACTGAGTTCCTGCCCCATGTTGGGTGTAGAGATTACTTAAAAATAAAACAAACAAACGGACACAAAAGCTCAATTGCTTCAGTTAGACACCATTTTGATAACCCAATTAAGGCTCCTCACAAGTTATGCGAGCAGGGAGCCTGAAGACTGGGAATGGCCCTGGATCCTGCAAGGCACTGTTGCCTTCCTTGCCTAGGGCCTTTGCATTTGCTGTTCCAGATGCTTAGAATGTTTCTCCATCAGCGCTTCGGATCCTTCTCGTTCATTATCAAAGCCACCTCCTCACTCCCACCACCTCAGTCCCTGATCATTCAGTCTTCCCTCCCCCGTCCCATCCCCAATCATTCTAATCAGTCTGTCCTGTGCTTCTGTCGTCACTACTCTTGGTTGTTCCTGTTTGGTGAGGAAAGGACTAGTCTGGCGTGGTCATTGCTGGGTTCCCAGGAACGTGCCCAGTAGGCGTTGAGTGAACGTTCAATTTAGGAAGGAATAAATCCCTCACCCTCAAAGGAGGGCAAACATGAGGCAAGCTTCACCGCCACATTTTCAGGAACCACAGATTTCCAGGAAGAGCCTTCTGTACCCTCTTCTCCTACCCCGAGGCCCAGCCCAAGAGTGAAGGTACTGATGTAGGAGAGACGATGTTAGGATTCGAAGCCAACAGCCAAGAAAGAATTCTTAAGATGTCTTTGGTGCAAAATGGTGGTTTATTAAAGCAGGGGGACAGGACCTTTGGGCAGAAAGAGGAGCAACCGGGTCAGGAGGAGTGGCCCCTTATAGACTTCTGAGTTGGGAGAGGCAGGTAAGGAAAAAGGGAGGTTTCAAAACAGCTTTCGTATGCTAAAGAGGACCTGCCAGATACTGGAGGCCCTGCCATTTTTCAAGTTAATGTTTTTCCCCTCTAGCAAGGGATTAACATTAAGATAGCTGGGAGATTCTTGGAAGACTTATCATGAGTCCCACCCAGGAGTGGAGGTGGGGGGAGGTTGGAGCTAGAATTACCTTTTGGCTCTAGCCAAAACATCAAGGCAACTGAGTCCTTAGAGGAATGTCTCTGCCTGTTCAAGGACTGGTCAATGAGCTCTAACGAAATTTAATAATTTTTTCTTCTGCCTTTGTTTCAGTAGTAGGACGTCACCAAGCCCAGGATCAGGGTAGCAGGAGGCCCAGGGCTCAGCAGGTTTGCTTCTCTCCACAGGCTAGGTCCCACCCCTGGGGAACTAAGGCAAGCCCCGCCCCCTCTCCCCCATCCTGGGGCCAGCCCAGGTGCGCGGAGGGAGGAGGATCCTCGCTCAGGTGCCTGCTCCCTGCGCCTGCGCTCTACGCGCCCCGCCTCGCCAGGTGCGCCCCGCCCCCCTCCCGACCGGCCACCTTCCATAGCTGCGCGGAGGCGGACGCCATTGGCTCTAACGCCCACCGAGTGCTTGGGAGGTTGGCGGGGTTCTGAACCGTGGAAGAGTCGCTGAGTGTTGCCGGGGCAAGGGGCGAGTGAAGGGCGGACAGAGGCGTCGTGGCCGTAGGAGGCAGCGTGTCCGCAAACCGAAGGTCCGGCGAGGTGGGGGGTGGGGGGTTTTCCGGAGGCTTCGGCAGGAGCGCCGGCGCAGCACCTCGCTGACCCTCTGGGAGCGCCCGCACCTGAACACGAGGCTCTCTAGCGCGCGTGCGCGGCGAGGGTCTTCCCGCACCTGATCGCGAGACCCTAACGGCCAGCGGCTCGAGGCTTCCCCTGCGCTGCCGGGTGGAACCCGTCATGGCGCAGCTGTGTGGGCCGAGGCTGTGCGGGGCTCTCCTCGCCCTGTTGGCTTCGCTGCTGCTCTTCCGGGCTGAGGCGGCCGACGGAGAACGTGGCGTCCACGGTGAGGGCCAGGGCGGGTCTCCCGGGAGGAGTGGAAGGCCGACAGGCGGAGGGCGGGGCGCGAGGGGACTTGGGCAAGGTCTGAGCCGGGCGAATAGGCGGGAGAGGGAATTGGGGGCGACCTGGTGAAGCTCGGGGGGTGTGGTGGAGCGGTCTGTAGGAGATTGAGCCTGGGGCTGAGGTTTGGGAGCCCCTGGGACTGAGGGCGGGCGGCGGAGCCAGAGTTGGGAAAGTTTCCTGCGGGTGAGGGAGGAGACTTAGGAGTATTGACCAGGAAGGAGTGGCATTGGCCCTTCCTGTGGCAGGAAGGGGGTGAGAGGCCCAACAGAAGACCAGCCTTCTTCTGGCAGAGGAAAGTTCTGCGGCCCAGGGGAGCCCTGAGAGGCCGGGCCTGAGAGGGTGGGGATTGGATTAGGTGACGTAATGGCAGTTTTAGCCTCTGGCAAGAAGCCCCCACGCCCACCTCTTCAGATACTGGACCACAGCCTCTCGAGAAATCTTAACCTGGTTCAGTTGCAGTAGAGTGCCTCCAAAATGATGCCTCTCAGGAAGAAGAAGAAAAGCAAAAGTGTTGGAGGGGAGAAACTTTGCAAAGGTGCAAGAGTGGGGACCCCTTGGTATAAAAAGAGTATTGGCCTTGAGAAGCTGGGGTTGGGGTTGTGCAACTGGTCCTTACAGGTTGGTGGAGAATAAGGCCCTATTTAAATCTCTATATTCTCCAGAAGTTTGGCCTGGGAAGGTCATTTTGAACAAGTGTTGTCATAACCTCAAATGCTTCAGACAAGCACAGCCAGGCTTTGGAAAAAACCCCTCTTTTCAAAGGAGAATTCACTGATTCAGCAAAACTTACTGAGCTCCTGCTGTGTGTCAGGGATGATGCTGGCACCGGTGGTAACAGTTGTGACTCAGACAAGCCAGGTCCCAGCACTTAGCTTGTATTCTAGTGGGAGAGACAGAGACAGTGAGTAAACATTTAGGTAAAGAGCAGTCACCGCAGTATTAAATTACTAAGAAGTAAATGAACAAGGTGAAGTACACAAACAGCGTGATGTAAGATGATGGGGCTCTTTTAACTCAGGTGATCAGGGGAGGCCTCTCTGAGGAGGGTGACGTCTTGAGCCCTAACACAAAGACCTCTGGTGGGTGAGAGTCCATGGAGATAATGGAGTCAGAGGCCTCCAGGTTGGAGGAAGCCTGGTAGTATTCAAGGAAAAGACACAGAATCATCCTAGTTGGAGTAGAAGTGGGCGTGGGGAGAGAATTGGAGGAGGATGTGAGATGGGAGAAGTAGGCAGGAGACCGGTGGCTTTGTAGGCCAGCGTTTTGGGTGGAAAGAGAAAAGCAGGGTGTGTGTGCCGCTCATCACCTGTGGTGACTTCTGTAATTTATTTATTTTTTTAAAGACTTTATTTATTTATTTGACAGACAGAGATCACAAGCAGGCAGAGAGAGAGAGAAGAGGAAGCAGGCTCCCTGCTGAGCTGACCTGAGCTGAAGGCAGAGGCTTTCACCCACTGAGCCACCCAGGCGCCCCACCTGTGGTGACTTCTGAAGTCTGTTAATTTACCCACGTCAGAGGCAGAGAGGGAAACATGAGCTAATGGGGATGTCAGGGGTCACTGGGGAGAGAATCAGCTCTGTAGGTCAAGGAATCAAGAGTGGAGGTAGGTGTTGGGCACCTGGGTGGCTCACCAGTTAAGCGTTTCCCTTTGGCTCAGATCCTGATGCCATCCATCATCCTGCTCAGTGGAGAGTCTGCTTCTCTCACTTCCTCTGCCTTTCCCCCCTGCTTGCGCATGCTCTCTCAGAAAAATAAATGAAATCTTAAAAAACAGATAGATAAAACAGGGACGCCTGGGTGGGTGGCTCAGTCACTTAACTGTCTGCATTCAGCTCAGTTCATGATCCCAGGGTCCTGGGATGGAGCCCCGTGTTGGGCTCCCTGCTCATTGGAGAGACTGCTTCTCCCTCTCCCTCTGCCTGCCACTCTGCCTACTTACGCTCTCTCCTTATCTCTCTGTCAAATAAATAAAATCTAAAAAAAAGTAAAACAACTCATAGGAAAAAAATTCAGGGAGTGCCTAGGTGGCTCAGTAGGTTAAAGCCTCTGCTTTCAACTCAGGTCATGATCCCAGAGTCCTGGGATCGAGCCCCGCATCAGGCTCTCTGCTTGGCAGGGCGCCTGCTTCCTCCTCTCTCTCTGCCTGCCTCTCTGCCTACTTGTGATCTCTGTCTGTCAAATAAATAAAAATCTTTTTTTTTTTTTTTTTTAATAAAAATCTTTAAAAAAAAAATTCAGGTGCTGAACATACTTGCAGTCTGAACTAGAATTTGACATGACTTTTTTCAATGACATAATCATGTTAGGATGTGCCTTTTAGTTACCTGTTCTGGGACTTAATCAAAACTGAATTTAGGGTTAACCTCTGTTGCTTACTGAGTTCTGATCCTTGAAACAGCCTGGTTGGGTGGTCAAGCTACAGGTCTTACCTAAGATCACACAGTTGTAATTGACAAGTCAGGTCTGGCTTCAGAGGCCTTCTCTTTTCCTGGTGGCCTTTCTGGCTGCTGCAGCTGGGTGGACCTCCTGACCTTTCAGAAGTACTCTTGTCTCGATGGGTGAACTAATGACCTTGCTTATCTGAAGTTCTGTTTGTTTGAAAGCTTTCAGTAGTTTAATTTGAACTGGGAGGTAGTTTTGATTTTTTTTTTCAGGCAACAGGGTCTTCCACTAAGAGTGACGTGTTTCTCCAGCCCCATTCAACTGCATAGGTGCCACTAGATGAGTATGGTGAGGTGGGGAGTGTGTAGTGAATGTGTGTGAGGGGGTGATGGTAATGGTTGGTCAAGGAATTTGATCTTTGTGAAGACGTGAGGGGGCTGAGGGGTAGAGGAGAGGAGATAGGGTCGGTGAATTGTTGGAGTTGAGGTTTTGGAGGGCATGAACTGGAAAGAAAGGATATGATGGGCAGTGAGTGAGATGCTTGAAACTGAGATTCCAAGAAGTTGTGTTTCTTGAGACAAGGTCTAGGCATAACCATTGTGGGATGAAGCTGAGGGGAGGGCAAGATCACTGGAGAAGAGGTCTAGGAACCAAGAGGCCAGGATGGTCTGAGGGTCACCAACCCGGATATGGAAATTAGCTGGGAATGATGAGGGAGGCAGCATGAGAGACAGTGAGCCAGGAGCTAAAGTCATGTAATGAGGAGTAGTGATCTGGGAAGATGATGCACAAGGTGGGGTACAGACTGCTTTGATGGTGATTAATAGCTGGACTTTGGAGAGGGCAGAAGTGTAGAAGCAGCACCAGAAGCAAGGAGACCTACCCTCTTGGAAATGTCCTTGAGGGAGGAAGGGTTTGGTTAGAGTAAGGAGAACGTGATGATAATGTTCAGAGAGGAGATGAGGAAATAAGAGATTTTGCTTAAGGCAATTGCTAAGTTCCCAAACCCTGGAAGTTTGGGGGAAGAGGGATGGGAACAGTCTAGGATGTATGGGGATGAGGGGAGTTAAGTCAGGAGTCTGGGCTGATGTGGTGATAAGCAAGTGATAGGAGTGCCGTCCGGTTCAAGGCTGACAGTGTTGGGCAGGGACTGGGTGTTGGAGGGCAGATGGCAAGGGGTGTGGTAAGTAGTGGATACTTGGACCCTGGACAGAGGGTGTCCTGAAACTGGACCCTTGCAGCTGGAGGTGGGGGAAAGCTGATACTGCTCTGCGTGTTTCTAGCATTCAGGGAGGGCGCCAGTCTACCATGGAAAGCACACAGATTATAAACCCTCCGCTCCCAAGAGGCCTCCAACAGGCTTTATGTGACTTGTAGTTTGTAGAATTGGGATTTTTTTTATTTTAAAGATTTTATTTGACAGAGATCACAAGTAGGCAGAGAGGCAGGCAGAAAGAGGGGGAAGCAGGCTCCCTGCTGAGCAGAGAGCCCCATGTGGGGCTGGATCTCAGGACACTGGGATCATGACCTGAGCTGAAGGCAGAGGCCTTAACCCACTGAGCCACCCAGGCGACCCTAAAATTGGGAATTTTTAATGGAAAAATTTGGTTATGGCTCTGCCTGAAAAATGTGAAGATCAGTGGCACCAGATCAGTGTTCCCGCATGGGACCCATAGTGCTCTTTTTGGAAAGGACATACACTACTCAGTCTTTATGTACTTGGCCTGCCCACCATATCTCTAAGCATTTAAGTTGTAACCTCCCCCATCTTAAGAATATGTTCCATTTTGTAAATGGAGGTAGAGGAAACAGCTCCTTACAAATTGTATAGTGTAGGTGCATGTGTCATTGCTGTTAGGGAGGGAAAAGCCCTTATCAGTTGGCCACAGATGTGTGTATTTTTTTTTTTTTTTTAATTTCTTCCCAGGTGATAAGTCCTGTTATCTGGAGTGTCCCAAACTATGTGATTTTGATTTCATTCAATTTAAGGATGGATAATACAGTTGGCCTTCGAACAACACAGGGGTTAGGAGCAACTCTGCAGTTGAAAATCCACATCTAACTTTTGATTCCTCAAAAACGTAGCCTGCTGATAGCCTGCTCTCTAAGCCTTACTAATGACATAAACAGTCAATTAACACATATTTTGTGTTACATGTATTAAATACTGTATTTTTCTGTTTTGTTTTGTTTTGTTTTGTTTTTTGAAGATTTTACTTATTTGACAGAGATCACAAGTAGGCAGAGAGGCAGGCAGAGAGAGAGCAGGAAGCAGGCTCCCTGCCAAGGAGAGAGCCCGATGGGGGACTCGATCCCAGGACCCTGAGATCATGACCTGAGCCGAAGGCAGAGGCTTAACCCACTGAGCCAGCCAGGTGCCCCTACGACATATATTTTTAAAAAGATTTTATTTATTTATTTATTTGATAGAGCACAAGCTGGGGGAGCAGCAGGCAGAGAGAGAGAGGGAGAAGCAGGCCCCAGCTGAGCAGGAAGCCACGTGGGACTCTATCCCAGGACCCTGGGATCATGACCTGACCCAAAAGCAGACACTTAAC